CCTTCTCTGGGGGATCCTTTCAACACCACCTCACGTCACCCTACCACTCTCTCGACAAGCGCCAACATTCACCCCTGCACAACCACGGCCCAACGCGATAGCCCTCGGAACTCATTCGATAACGTGTCGTCCAACTCTTCCGACATTCGATAGACCAGCATTTCACGCGCCCTTGTTCCTTGGGACCAGCCTCTCGTGCATCCCGGATCACGCACTTCGAGCCTTCCTTGCCACTCTAGTCAAGAGGCTTCATCGTTTCTCTGCACCCAAGGCGCCCACCTGCCTCTCTCTTGCGTCGTCCCAATCCGAGACAACGAACCGTCAAGGTCGCTCCTCCACGCGCGACTTGTCCAGTCCAAGAGTAGAGCCTGCGCAATCGGCGCCAGTGACCGAGGCCGACTCTCCTAGCCAGTCTGTCTCGGGCTCGTCTCCCAGTACACCTACGGATCATCTGATGCGATAATCCAATCCCGTTTTTCTCGGCGACAAGGGCGATTCGGCCGCGTATCCGGGCGGTGGCAGCGCGGTAGGAATCCCACGAGGAAGGAGGCCTTGGCTCCATGCCAGGGCTCATCAACATGGAGAACGGGGTACAGAATGGCGCACACTCGAATCATGACAGGGATGTCAAGGTCAACGGAGGAGCGGTGGCGGTAGACAGCCCGGCGGCGCTGGACAAGGGAAAAGGTGCAGCGGCGGGAACGAGTGATGCAGCGGCACAGAACGGCCACGGTGACAAGACTGTTCCGCCTCCCAACGTACAAGACGCGCAACGGGGCACTTCTACTGTCAGTCTGCCGAATCGGTCAAGGATGAACGACTTGCCAGACGAGATCCAATACATCACACAAGGCTTCATCCCACTATCGACAATCATCCTTCGACTTGCTCAGGCAACGCACGACGACCTCGAGAAGGCCATCATGGATGCGGCGCGTATCAAGTATTCCCCACCAGCGATAAACGGAAGCGCGACTGGCGGCGGCGATCCTCCAGATGATTCCTCCGAAGCGAACAAGGCGAGGAAGCTTACACTGTTGAAGTTTGCCCAAGACGCCCACACCAAATGGGTCAAGGCCTTGGTGATCACGGACTGGAGCAGGAAAGCGTCTACGGTCAGCAAGCTGATCGATCTCAAAGCGCACCTAGACAAGAAGCGAAGTCTTTTCGATTTTACCCTCACCGAGCTGATCGAGCTGAAGCGCTCGCTCGGCCAAGCGAGACTGCCGAGACCAGACCTCAAAACAGCCCTGCAGATCCTCACGACGGGCGAGGCACCTTGGATACCAGAGGTATGCGCACGCATCGTCAGATGCGCCTCTGAGCCAAAGCTAACATGGAACAGCCGGGATACATTCCGCCACCATCATTAACGCCGGAAGAACAGCTGAAGTGGATTGAAGAGCTCAACACGCTTCTGTCACTGCGCCTCAATCTCGACGATTACGACAAGATTCCACAGCAGTTCAAGAACTACACCATCAAATCGGGCCGCGTGACCTTCACGGTGGAGGGCGAGTTCGAAGTCGATCTTACGATTGCCGACGAGGATTTCGAAAAGCAGTTCTGGTTCATCGACTTTCGCTTCGACTTCACGCCTTCCTCTGAGAGGCTATCTGATGCGCTGGTTGCTTACTTGGAGGGGCAGGTCAACGACGTGCTGTCGCGGGAGGGGCTGGAGGGCTGTTATCGATTCCTTCATGAGTTCGTCCTCACCCACAAGATTAACGAGCTCAAGCGACAAGCCATCGACCTCGTGCGAAACTCTTGGACTGGCAACCTCAAGGTGGAACCGCTCAACCGGGCGCTCGCCATTCAGTATTGGACGTCACGGTACGGCTCTCAAGCACCGAAAAGCTGGGTCATGGTCGCAGTACAGAGCGGCAAACAGAAGAACGGGCTGCCGGATCCGAAACACCCCAGCCATCTTGTCGCTCGATGGTACCGGGACAACAAAGAGATCAAAGACGTCAAGCTCCATCTCAACATTCAAGAGATCTCGGCAGAGGCTTTACTAAAGTCAGCCATTGCCAAGCACGTCGAACATATCCTATCCTCTATCCACGACAAGCTTGCGGCCGCGCCGAGATTCGCCAACAGACAGGCCTATATGCGGCTCGACATTTCACGCTCGGAACCGCTCGATTCATCGCTCGAGATGCAGCTTGGGGGCAAAAAGGTGGTCAAGTTGCTCATCGAGCCCATCACGGGCTTTGCTGCGATACAGCCACATACACGGTACGGTCTCCAAGGAGAAACACGGATCAACCACGGCGGCAAGGATCCGGCCGAGGATGGTGTTGCCTGTCTGGAGAACATTCGATGGGGCTATGTTGTGGACGAGTTCAACCGCCGCGGTCGAAGCTGTGGCTGGGCGATGACGAAGATGCCCGTCGGAAACGAAGAGGTCAAGCGACTCATCAAGACAAGAGAACCGTTCCAACCCGTCTTTTTCCAGCGACAAGGGCTCGGTCAAGACTGGTTCGTCTTGATGTCTCTGAGCCTGGCCGGGGACGAATGGTGGTTGATCGAGGTGTAAGTTGATGGCCATCTCGCACGTACCCCGAACTATTTGCTGATCTCAACAGGACACGAAACGGGGCGTCTCGTGCAGTGACGACCTCGATCCAACTGCCCTTCTCCAAAGGCCAACCCGAGCTCAACGACAAGTTCTGGAACAACTTGACGAGTTTAGCCGCCGGAATGATTTCTCAGGCCATCGAGCTTGGTGAACTGAAGAGAAACCGTATTGACCACACCGCCAAAGACATGCACAGCCGATGGTTGACACAGCAGATCAGGATACCCGTCATTTTCATCAGGCTTGCGCACATCTTGGGCTCACCAGACTCATTGGCTCAGACTCGCGCGCAGGACCGCCGCGTGCAATCGAGCGCTCCGGTATGGGCCGCCGACACCGTTGAGGTTCATTTCAGAGGCACCAAGGGTTTCTCTGCAGCCAACTCTGCTGGAAACGACACGGCCGGACTCGGCATTTGTGTTGATGCT